CTTTGCGGGAGGCAGAGCGGGATTTCTGCGAGGTGCTGGTATCCAGATCGAGCAGACCGCTGGCCACAGGCGATTGGGCAGGCGGTGGTGGGGTGGTGCCTGCGGGTATGCCTGGTTTTCCTGGCTTTTCCGGGCAGGAGCTGGCTTCGCTGGCGCTGCCCGCTGACGTGGGTGTGAAATCCGTGGAGTGGCGCAGATATTTGATAAACTCAAAGGATCCATCAAAGTGCTGGGGCACCGAACCGCCCGGGGAGGCGGTGGTGCTCTGGTGGCCATTGGGCGTGGCCACCGCTGTGGGCCAGCGATTGCTCGGGGGGGTGGCGGTAAGGGGGGTTGATCCTGCTGCTCCTACGACAGGATTTGACGTCGGAGCCGCTGCTGCGCCGGCCTCGACGCTGGCAGAGGCAGCAGCAGCAGCCGCAGCAGCGGCGGCGGAAGCATAGTGTGCGGGATTAACGGAGCTACCTGAGTTAACGGAGGAGGAGTTTTCCCGCTGCGACGTCGCCTGCGTTGCCTCGTAATTGGGAAACTCCGCTGCTGAGGCTGCGACTGCTGCTGGATTGCCATTGGGTAAATGTGTGTGGGAATACTGTTGCTGATGTTGTTGTTGCTGCTGCTGCAGCTGCTGCTGCTGTTGCGTCGGCGCGCCTGCGCCGCAGCCAAACACTTGAAATTCCTCGAAATTAGTGCATTTGAGCTCGCCATTGCTCAAGTACTTGGAAAACTCTGAAGGATCGTTGAGCGAGTTGAGGAAGAAGGAGCTAAAGTTGCTCGATATGCAGGACATTTTGTTCAATTGTTTTTTGTATATTTCGTTTTTGTTCTCCTTTATTTTTTTTTTTTTGGGTAATACTGTACGTTATAATTTATTTAAAGCTTAAAATGGCACATGCGATATTTCGAAATTTTCTCTCGTTTTTCTCGTTTTGCCGCTGCTTCTGCGGTTCATATTTTATTACAATTTTCCACACACACTCTCGGCGAGGGAAAACACATGTGTGTGTTTGTGTGTGGGCCTCTCCCGCGTACGTGTATGTATGTATGTATAAATTTTTCTTATTATAGCAAAATGTAATTTATTATTCTTATTGCTCGCTCGCGCACTGCCTTTCGCTCCTTGAAAAAAGGCCTTTTCCACCGTATGTGGTCGCTTCTATTTGTTGTTGCTGCTGTTGTTGTTGCTGCTGCCGCCGCTCACACACGTACTAATACATGTGCAGCAAAGAGCCTGGAAATAGGCGCTTTTTGAAACTGGTCTGGTCTCTTTTGGGGCCTGTCTTTTTGCCTATTTTATTATTATTATTATTACTTGGCCTTTTTGCACTATTTTCACTTCCTTTTCGGCCTTACGTTCGCGCCCACTTACACACAGACAGGCGGTAGGCTCACAGACACAGACACGGACACACGAACACACACACAGAGGGCGAGGCGCGGTCGGCAGCGGCGTTGCTTTTTCCGTCTTCCTCTGTTTTATATTTTCGTTTTTCTCGCTAGCCTCTGCTTTACTTTCAAAACAAATGCCGCTAGTGCTTCTGCTTCCATACGGAAAAACGGAAAATCTTATCGTTGTTGCTGTTGTTGTTACAGTTGTTGCAGAGTGTTTTCACCGCCGCGAGAAGACACGACATTGCCGCTAAATTTCCGAAAGCAAAATGAGCGAAAAACATGCAAGCGAGCGCTGCGACAGCGACTTATGTTCTCCCGCTGCCTCTGTCGGCGTCGCTGCTCTCTTTATGCTCTTGCTCTCTCACTCTCTCTCAGTTAATGTGTTTATGGCAAGTCCTTTTCGTGCTCTCAGTTCGTGAACAAGTATTTTCGTTTTCATGAACTTTGCACCACATAAATAGGGGTCGTTTAATTTAGGAGTTATTTTTTTTCATCAATTTGTGTTTTTATTAAAGACTTTGAAAATGATTATTCCCTTACTTTTGCATTCCATTTGTTTTTATTTTTCATTCATAAACTTTCATAAAAAATAAACAGGTATTTCGGAGTACATAAACTTCCCCGCATAAACAATATTCCTCTCGCGCTCTCTCTCGTCTTCCGCTTCGTGTGTGAGTGTAATCAGTTGTAGGTGTTTGTAGTTGTTGCTGCGCTAGGAAACGTGTATTTCTTCCTGCGCCATGCTAACCCTTTCTATATAAACCTGATTTAATCTTTGATTATTGTGCTCTCGCTGGGGGATTATGGCTGCCGCCGTTGTTGCTGGCTTTGCTATTTTTGAAAATTCCACTAAATTATCCGTTGAGCTGCCCGCTCTCTCCTAAGTTCCTGTAGTTGTCTTTTATTTAGTTATTGTTGTTGTGCGTTTTGGGCAGGTAAAACAGTTAATTTGCCTAGGGTTGCCACATCGTTGGGCGTTTGGCAGGACCACCTGGAATGCGCATAAATGTTAAGTTTTATTGCCGTTTTTACAGTTCTTCCACATTTACGACTCTTTTGGGTCGTAAAACACACGAACAGGTAGCGATCTCGCCAAGGCCATGGCTGTGCGGGCGTTTGGCAACCCTGGCAGCCAGGAGGTTTCAGAACTTCCAATGGAATTTTGTATTCAAACAATTTTTATAGCCGTTTTGTACCAATAAATATTATAATTGCCGCGGCAGACTTCGTTAATTATAAACACAACGGCGGCCGCAAGGAAGTCGTCAATTTAAAAAAAGCTGTCTCTGCGTTATTGTTATTCTAATTACCTCTTTAGCTGCTGATGTTGATGTTTTTGGCACAATTTCGCTTTCGAATTCAAAGCAATTTATTATTCAAATGTACATAGGGAACTTGTAAGTACATAACATATTTTATTTAATAGGCTTTCACACGCGGTCAGCCAATTTACATGTCTGTACATGCCAGCGCACATACATATGCGAGTAATTTTTCAATTAATTTTAATTATAAACTTAATTAGGAAATCAATGAACGACGCGAACGGAACGGAACACACACATTTTACCGCTGTGCGAGGGAGACAGCGAACATCCGATTCCACACACAACTAAAACAATGACAACAATTGCCGTCAAGTGCGCTGCGCATACAGCATAAAATCATCCACTCAGCGCCAGTGGAGCCCCAAAAAGCGAACAAGCCCCCAAAACCGAAGTGAAGCGCCCGTTGAAAAAGCGAACACGCCGAAAAGTCGAAATCAACTGAGCATTGGGGAAACAACAACACGAACGAGGAGAATAGGGGCGCCAACCGACTGGGGTTGCCAGACTGCTTGCACAGCAAAAGTTTGCTTTCAAAATTTCAAGCTGTTCTCGTTTTCCGTTTCGCTTTTATTTCGAGGTGATTTCAAAGTTCCAGAAACAAAAGGTCTTATTATTTATGCTTTGCAGAACTGAAATAAATTGTTACGTTTTATATTTGGCAGGAATTTTTAGAATCTGTGAGTAATTTTTATGTTTATTAATATTTATTTAGTGGCTTAAAAAAATGGAACTGTGTGAATATTTACATACATTGAATTAAATATTTGGCATAGATGTTTTGTAAGGACTGTGCGAAATCTAGCTACAAAAAATATGAAATGTCAGCACTGGTAGACAATTCTATCCAAACTGTCAGCACTGTTGACTATCGATATCGGTGACCGCTTGAACGTGCGGTTGGTATTAATCATTCCACTCCAAAGATAAATAAAACCTCGGGCCGGCATGAAATTCGCGATCGAGAGCATAAGCAAGAACTCCGGCCGCCTGGGTCAACTGCGGATTAAAGATGGAGGACCCGAGCTCAGGACTCCGCTTCTCCTGCAGACAACTAAAGGAGGTAGCATTCCGTGGCTCAGTGCAGATGTGTTCGAAAGTCATGTCAGCCAGAAGCCACAGGTGCTCCAGTTTACGCTGTCCACCATGGACCAAATGTCAGAGGTACTGACGCAATGGCACAGCAGTGGAGATCGCGGACTTAGCGACTACGTGGGATTCCCCGGACACCTGAACATACTGCTGCTGCGAGATCCCTGTGAAACAACGCCTTCGGGTGGCAACGATCGCGATATACAGCCACTCTTCACGAGAAGGGGCAAGGAATCGCTCACTCCCGAGCGCTACATGGAAATGGTGGCCAGCTTTAAGCCGGACGTCTACCAGGGACTTTGCGATGCAGACACAAATGCGGAGAGTGCGAAGAAAAGGGTTCAGAAATCAGTAGATAGGACAGAGAAGTTTATGCACTACATCTACGAGCACCGCGGCAAGGTGGAGTCCACACTGCTAGCTCCCATTGTGGGCGGTTACTGCACTTTTGCCCGGACGCAGTCCATCAAGCATGCCCGGGAACAGACAGCGGGCAGCTATGGAGGTTACATTTTGGAGGGATTCCACACAAATGGTTTGACCGCGACCACTTTAGAGTCTTCCAAGCTACTGAGCATTGTAGAGCACTGCATTAAGCAGCTGGAAGAGGACAAGCCTAAGATAATGACGGGCGCTTACACGCCCCTAACAGTTCTGGAACTCATCCGCCAAGGAATCGATGTGTTCGATACCTCATACGCCTATTGTGCTTCCCTGAACTTCAAGGCTTTGACATTTGGCTTTGTGCAGGATGCAGTGGAGCATGTTCCCTTCTTAGACATAACGGATGAAGCTATAAAGGAGGAATTTAATCCACTACTAAGCAACTGCACCTGCCTGACCTGCCAGAAACACACACGTGCCTATCTGCATCACCTGTACAAGACTAACGAGCTCTTAGGTCCCATATTACTAATGGTGTAAGTGCTTATCTTGAAATATCAAAGCCTCCATTCATTTATTTACATCTTTCAGTCACAACCTGCATCACTACATGTCCTTTTTTGAGGCAATTCGTCAGAGTGTGGCCAACGACTCGCTGCCGCAATTGATAGAGCTTGTGAAGAACCAGAATGGCAAATCCCAGGTGGATTATTCAATTTCCACAAACACCAAAGTAATCAGCAAGGCCACCATGGGCAAGGGATTCGCTGCGGCAGCAGTGTGACCCGACAGGCCAATCAAACAGTAAAGTTAGTCTAGAAAGAAGCCTCTGGTTGTTTATTCTAAAAGTTCTATATCGTCAACGGTTGGTCCCAAAGCGATTGCTCACGTCCTTCGACAATATGCGTTATTTCCTCATACAGAGCTTTTGGAGCATCGCCAGTGACAGTGCGTATCCTGAAGAGTACCTGCAGTTCTGTCAGGTTCTCCATTTTTTCGGGATCTGTTGAGAATAGCAATTTAAGATCAAACTCACAGTTCTTAGACATGACTTTCTTACCTGGCAGCGGAATGTAACCAGCCAACTCGCAGAATCCCACATTAAAGTCGGCCAAATCCTTATTAACGCAGTACTCGGATCGGGCAAATACGAATACCTGAACGTTGCCGCTTTGGCCGGGTCGCCGATCCTGTGTGATGAACAGATTGTGCGGCATGTTGTTCTGGCACATCCACATGGCCAGCTTGTAGAGCTGGTCCACCTTCTCCGCCACCTGCTCATCGTTATCATTGTCTTTGAATACTATACAGATGCCTTCCGTGGGCGCCCTACGGCTCAAACGATAGACATAACCGCCGGCCAGCTCATCCAGAGGGGCTTGGTCTATATACAGATCCTGGGGCATTTGGAGTAGGTGAACGTGGAGGTGATTCACGGAGGCCAGGGCACCAGGACTATTATAGCCCATGCGCATGTCCTTGTCATCGATACTCCGCATGAAGGTGATGCAGAACTCCAGTGCTTCGCGGGTTATTCGTTGAACATGGTTCTTTTTTACCTCCGGGCAGATCAGAGTATGATACTTGGTGATGGGGCTCTTGTTGATGATCATCTGGACTTCGGGACTGCCGTAGGCATCATCAATTGTCATTATTACTTCCCGAGCATCCACTTTGTTGAAGTTGAACATTAAGGGCTTAAAGGTTGGATTGAGGTTCTCGATGGTTTGCGGACGGCGGCGCTTAAGGGAACGTTCTGCATTGAGCTGAAGGAGAAGGGTTAACACAGACATCTATAGGGCAAAGATAAAGTTTTCACCTCTGTGTAGAAGCCCCAGTATCCTGGTATTTTCCGGCTCTGCGGGGACTTCTGCAATTGATATGAAAAAAGCCCGGGAACTTTGTGCAGCTGCTCCCAGCGCACCTTCATGGCGTTGAGGTAGAGCTGCGCCCTGCCCTCCAGACACGTCTCGTACTTGACCTTGCTCATGGTTCGCTTCCGGCCCGGTCGTTTCACTTCCTGCCCATCATTTTGCCTGCACTCCGCGGATCGGAGGATTACCAGTGGTAGCAGAGTTGTCACCCTTAGGGAATACCTGTTGCTGAAGCCGACGGCAAGGAATCTCCGGAAGTGGGCACTGAAAGTCTTGAAGACGTGGTGTTTCTTCCGTAAGATGGATCCAAAATGTCGTGAAAACATTCTGTTTTGCGCAGGGCGGTTAAAAACAACAGAAATTTACTATAATTTTAAAGCCGAGACAACCTGACAACCCAGCCCCCCAAACAGCTGATTGCTGACTTCAGCGGCGTGGCAAGGGGGTTGAAAAATAGATTTCCATTTAGGTTTTAATATTTTACAGATGTTCATGAATTATTATATCTTTTCGAGATAAGTGACCATTCATATAAATGTTTTTTTATATAATCCGATGTCTAATTATAATATTTTAAAAGTCATTTATCCATTTTTAAGGTTAAACAATTTTTATGAAAGCACTGTAAAAAATATCAACCTTTTTGTTAATTGTCCAAACTTTGGGGAATGAAAGGTAAATTGTAATTTCCTTGAACCCAGTAAGAAAAGTTTTGCCACACCCCTGATCAACGATTTCTTCAGCCCTGGTTTGTTTGTGCGGGTGAAAACTGTTGTACAAAATATTTATAAACAAATGGCCCAAGTTCAAGGTTCCTGCGACAGCTTCTGTCCAGCTGGGGAGGCGAAAATGTGGGTAGCTAAACTTATAATCCGAAGATTTAGAACATAATGGCGTATTTAAATAAAATCAGGCGAATTCGCGAGAAGCTGTTGCACTACTTCGAGCTGAAGAATGGTCAGAAGAACACTCCTGGAGTTCTGGTCAAGGAGTTTACGCGTTCCGCCGCCGATGTCAAGATGCCCCTGCCCAAGGAAATGCGCACGGAGGCGGCACTAATCAAAACTGTGGAATACCTACTCAAGGAGCAAGTATTTTGGGTGTTAGTACAACCAAGTGATCACTGTTAATCAAGGAACTTTATAGCATAATCCTGGACACTCGGAAGCCCTATCATCAGGCCTACGACTTCATCTTCGATCGTTTGAGGGCTGTACGCCGTGAGATTGTGATACAGATGTATGATGCTCGGCAGAAGATCCGGCTGCTGGAGCCCATTGTGATGTTCCTGGCCTACAGTCGCTATCGGCTGTGCGAGGATTCCATAGAGAAGTTCGATCCCAAGATATGCAACCAGCACTTGCAGGAGTGCCTCACGGGAGTGCTCTGCTCTTACGAAGAACTGGATGGACTGGAATCCTCTGCAGAACCTACTATCCGTGAGCTGGAGCGACGTTGCTTCATAGAGTGTCTGTATCAGGTGTTCAATCTGGGTTCTCCCGAGTCCTTTACTCGTGCCCTCAGCTTACCGGACTATGTGCGTCAGGATGCGACCTTTAAGCTGTGTTTTGGGCTCTGTTTGGCCTTTCAGCAGGGAAACTTGTACAGAGTGCTTATGGCTTTGCCACAATTGCCCCACATTCTGTGTGCCCTAGCTGCCACCAAGTTACAGGCTATAAGGAGGTACTATAAGCCATACATACTCATCCAAAAACCCATTGACTCCTTGTTTTTTTTGCAGGAGTTTGCTTCAGATTTTCACGCATGCCTACAACAACAAACAGCTCACGGTGCCGGTTCCTTACTTGTTGCGTTTACTGTTAATCGATGGGCCGGCAGGACTACAGGATCAGTGTCGGCACTATGGCATATCCCTAAGTGCCGACAGGAAGGCGGTGCATTTTAATAAGACTGATTTTAACCACAATGCCGATCTATTGAAACCCCAACACGAGCGCTTTGTGGAGTCAAAACTAAAGCGTATTTATCTACCCGAAGTCCTGTTGCTAAAGAAATTTAACTAGTTAGTTAGGTACACAGAATTGTAAATAGACAATAAGTAAAGTGAAACCATGGTAATTAATTTATTAATTTTTTGTTATTGCGCATTTCGTTTGTGTCGGGTGGCAACTCTGCTGGCAGAACAACAAACCTATCGCCTATCGATAGACAGAACGCCGCCGTATTTACAGCTACTAAATGCTTCACAAACTAGAGGTTATTAAAATGCAATTACTTCGGGGTAATTGTTAGTAAAATTGTGTTAATTTAAGAGTGGAAGTGAGGAGGATTAGTGCTTTAAACTATATATACCGCCTGAGATATACACAAAGCGCGCGCAGGGTTGCATTGTGGCGCCTGTCGTTGCCTCCTCAGTCGCACACACACACACACTCAGTGCGAGAGAAAGTAACGAGCCGTTTCTGGAAAATACAATTCCGCCATATTTACCGGCAAAATTCAAAATATTTACACTGCCCGAGGTGAGCGGGATCAAGTGGTCAACCGAATCGAGGATTAAACCGCCGTTGGGCAGCAGGAGCGTGGCGGGCGGAGCGAGCGGTACGCATCATTCGCCGTCTGCCGCCGCCGTCGCCGTCGCACAATAAACGATAGGCAAAAAAGGGCACGAAAAGGGGTGGAGGAAAGGAAGAGGAAGAGGGGGCCCAGTACAACAATACCGACAAAAACAAGTACGTACGTTTTTCCCCCTACTTGGCAAGGGGGAATCTTGGATACGGATTTTTGGCCAGGTACTAATTGCCCACTTTTTTTTGTAGTCTCGCAGCACGCTCTCGCACACACTCGGAGGTACAAAAACACACATACACACACACGCGCGCGCGGATACAGACACACAGACAGAGGCACAGACGACGGAGCAGCCGCGATGACAAGTCATCATCATCACGTCGGCGTTGGCGTTGGTGGGAACTTCCAGCCGCAACTGCATCAGCTCCGGGCGCCAATCGTCAAGAATCTATCGCTGGCTGCGGCGGCGGTACCGCTGCCCCTAACCTCCGCCCCCTCGTCGGCGTACTACATCCCATCGGCGGCGGGCACAATTGTCGAGCAAGATCCGTACACAGTTTTGGCGGGCGATCCGATGGGCGAGGAGAACGAGAGCTTCCTGATCGAGGAGATCATCGACGACTATGACGATGAGGCTAATATCGTTGTGGACACCGGCGAGTTCTTCGAGCACTATGAATACTATCCGGTGGATCGGCTGGACAGGCTCACATCGGTCTCAGTGGCGGCAGCGGATGCACTGCCGCCGCCTATCATCATGCAGCAGCCCAGCGACGACGAGGAGTATATCGAGGAGGATGGTGATGGACAGCACATGACCTCCTCATGCGATGGCGAGGGTGATGGCGAAGAGGAGGCCGAACAGGACGATGGGGCTTCCACGCCGGCCATGACAAATGCCTTTGAGATCGCCTCCGAGATGCTGACTACCATCGAGGCCACCAACATCAAGGAGGAGCAGCTGGAGAGTGACTTCTACATGAAAGCAACCGAGGATTCAAATAGCTCCAATGGTCAGTTGCAAGACTTTAAGCTATTTGGTAGCAGTCGCGTGGAGAGGCCCATTGGGAATTCGGCCGCGAAGCGCTGGAAGCAAACAAAGGTACCCATACGCATTACCCAGGACGAGTTCAATGTCACCCTTTGGTCCTCGCTGAACTCGGAGGATGAGGAAGAGGAGGAGGAGTTGGAGGAACCACCGGGCTCTGCAGCCGCCACATCCGTGACATCCGCCTCCGCTGCCCAGAATGAGGGCTCCACCAGCATGCCAAAGCTTATTATTGACGAGCGCATCCACGATGTGCTAAGCGATGGCATTGGCAACGAGTACGTCATCCTGCCCGATCCATTCAGTGCCTCTGCGGTCACGGACGTGGAAGAGGTGGTGAACGCATTTATGGGCGATGTCAAGGGCGAGGAGGACAGCCAGCCGCTGAGCGAACAGTTCATCTATGCGGACAACCAGCTGGAAGAGGCCTACGGCAACATCGAACTAATCGAGAATATGCCGAACAATGTGGAGTTGATGCAGTCACTGGGACCAGGTCCTACTCCTGTGCCGGTGACGCTAACAAAGGCCAATGGATGTGTGACGACTCCGCAGGCGGCTCTCCCAAAATTAGTGCTTCAGAACAGCAGCACCAATGTGCGACTGAAAAGTGCGGGCAATCAAACGAAGGTGACCAAGAGGCAACTCACGGCGGCAGCTCAGGTGGCGACACCGACGCCTCCACCGCCCCTGGTGGCTTCCAGCAATTCAGCCCGACCGCGGCCCACAATAGTCAGCAAATCAACGGCAGCAATGCCGGCGAATCAGTCGACTGGAAATCAAACGGGAGCAGCTGGCGCCGCCGCCGAGGAGGATGAGGAGCCCAAGTTTCGCTGCACCCATCGCGGCTGCAACAAGGAGTTTCGCAACCACTCGGCCATGCGCAAGCACATGCACACGCACGGACCACGCGGGCATGTGTGCAATGTTTGCGGCAAGAGCTTTGTGGAGAGCTCGAAGCTGAAGCGTCACCAGCTGGTGCACACCGGCGAGAAGCCCTTCGAGTGCACCTTCGAGGGCTGCGGCAAGCGCTTCTCGCTGGACTTCAACCTGCGCACCCACGTCCGGATACACACTGGCGATAGACCCTACCACTGTCCCATCGACGGCTGTTCCAAATGCTTCGCCCAGTCAACGAACCTCAAGTCGCACATGCTGACGCACACGAAGCCCAAGCGGAAGTGGCCCAGGGCGCCGCAGGTGAATGTGAACCACAACAACAACAACAACCACAACAATAACAATAAGACACCGCTGGTGGCTAGATACGGACGTCTGGAGTTTGGCGAGGATCCGCGCCTGGTGTACGTGGAGCAGAACGAGGAGATGGCGTCGGTGCTGCTGGATGGCACGTCCCCCACATCCTAACTAGTAGTGCGCATAAATGTATCGCTGGTATTGGCCTGAGAGGTGGCTCCGTCGAGTGACCAGATTGTACAGTTAGTTGTAGCCAGTTTTTATCTGTATCTGTAACCTAACGAGCGGAGCGACAGGACGCGATAATCACCTGGTGAACACATCCGCCTGCTCCCCGCCCCCTAAGTAATTAGCGTAAGAACTTTTTCTAACAAAATAGGCTTGCAGTGCAAAAGGAAGTTAGATGGTAGCCATTGATTTATTTCCTGCATGGATGGAAAAACCGGATATAAAGCAGTTCTAAGAGTTTAGCTTGTAGCGTAGGCTAAGCGAGCCCCCTCCGTCTCCCTAAAAAAAACGCGAACCCCGAAAAAATCAGCCAAACTGCCCTCCCCCTTATAAGCCCCAAATTCGATCTGATCCCAACCGTGTGCGATCTTCGCTCGAATAACAAAAAGCGCACGTTCTTTTCTACAACAAAAAAAAAAAGAAAACTAATAAGAAAAATACACAAAACTAGTTCTACCATATTCAGTACGCATACACCAATAGGCTATCTATATATTTTTGTAATGAATTGTAACACTTAGAGCATTGAAGTACGGATTTAGCAAGTTCAACGTCTGTTGGCGCTAACAAATAATTCACAAATGGAAGCACATCAGTTAAGTCGGAATAAACAAGGGAATACCTCTTCAAAATTAAACAATAATAAACCAAGAAAACAATGCAACACTCGTTTGTATCATTTTTTTGAACTATTTCACAGTGCGATTGTGTAAGCGTTAGATTTATTTACTGACTTTAAACGTGTAACTACATCTAGATAACTACATTAAACGGTGAGGCAGCTATTGATGGGACAGCTGCCGTGTGTTGCCCACTTCAGATTCGGATCGGCAGGCGATTAGATCGCCCCTTGGGACATGTGTCGCCTCAGTTTTCGTTCCATTCATTGATTGCGGTGTATAAAACGCGAGCGGATTAGATAAAGCATCGCGGCGAGGTACAGATACGCGGATATTTTGGATATTGGAACGGATAGCAGTACGCACAGGTGGGTGGTGGGTGGTCTTTTACGTGACCTTGATGCCCTGTCCTTGAACCCCGGGTATAATATCGGCCATTGAGGCACTGGGTCCTATTAATCCGGCCAGCGAGAGCAGTACGGAGTAGTTGAAGTACCAGAACACGCAGAAAAGCACCATGAAAATAACGTCTGGAAAAAAAGACGAGAACAATAATTACCCTGATAAGCGTGAAATTTCTCTGGAAACATGACGAATCCCAGATATTCCCAGAGGTTTTCGAGGGCTTGGTATTTGACCAGTAAAACAACACTTACGTATCGTTATGCGCTCCCACTTCTCCACCATGTACAGCTCGGTGACCTGCAAGTTAATAAACATTAATTTCATTTAGAATTGCATCGATGTGATTTCCAGCTTCTCAAGTGGAATATTTATGCGTAATTTTATGGCCATTACGCACCATGAGGTATCGGAACCACCAATAGCTGGCGAATTCCACGAGGTTGTCGAGCATTGCGGTTGAATTGAGTTGTTTAAAACAGCAAAAATAGGGTAAACAATAGGGGCGCAGGGCGTCTAATTTTTAATTCCACCCACTGCTTTTGTACTAACTTAAACGGGGTGTCCAGTGTTGGACAGTGCTCGCGGAAAGGTACTAGCAGCAGGCTTGCCAGGTTGTTGTACTTATAGTGCTGGCACTCTGACACGAGTTTTTATCGATATGGAGGAATTGTTGAAAAAAAGGATAGGGTATTCCCTAAGCACAAACATTTTGCAATGAAGGGAACGTCCTGAAATTCATTTTGTGATATTGTAAAGCGTAATATACAGATTTGCTGTTTAAGAAATTTTCAATATTTCAACAATAAATTTTGTATGAAACAGCTAATAAACGGGCGACGAAAATACAACGATTCAGCATTTGTTTATCTTCCATATCAACATCAAAACAAAGAACAGCTGATTGTTTACAAATAATTGTGAAACTCGAATATTTCTGAAAATGTCAACCTTTGTGGTTAAGTTACTTCAGCGCTCTCAACTTTCGCACAGCCAAATAGACGTAAAGCCTTTTATCTATGTCCGGAGCAACTGGATGGACGATGAGGCGGAATTTGACTTCCTGTCCACCACCGACAATCAGAACTACCGGGGAAGTCTGAAATACGAGGAGTTACGAACTGCGGCCAGTGATTTGGAGCTGTCCTACGATGCCTTCTTTGCCGAGTGCAAAAATGCCATGACCACGCACATGGGAGTTCAGGGATTCGATTATGAACTGGAGGATGGGGAGCAACAGTTCTTCAAAATGTACAAATGCGAGGGTTACGAGACGCTGTACCTTGATGTACCACTGAGGAAAGTGTCCAATTGCTACCAGCTACTGGATGCAGCCATTGAAGCTGGTCAGCAGAAGGCTCAAGAAGCTTCAGCTGCCGAATCCTATGACCAGAAAACCACATCCCTGGCAGAATATGAAAAGTATGTGAAGGAATCCAAGTTGAAGGAGGAGGAACTTCTCAAGAAGTTTCTGCTCCTTATAAACAGCAAAAAGGCGCATATTAGGGATTTGGAAAGCCAGCTAGAAGAGCGTTCCAAAAAGCCCTCAAAAGGAAAAAAGAATAAAAGAACGTCCACTGATGAGGAAGAGGACGAAGCCTTTGGAGCACCCACTCAAGCTATGAATATAGACAACGATTCGGATTAAGCTAATATTATAATTAAAACATCGCATCTTCGGTATGTGCTTGAAATGTATTTCCGTTTTGGTTTTAGTTTTTCTTTTCGATCAGTTTGATTTTGTAAAATAAATTAGCTTTATAATGTATGTATATATGTATAAATAAACAACAAATAGACTTGTAACGTAATACATAAAATTACCATCAATATGTGTAGAAGTGGCTTACAATTAGACCAACAGAAGATCGCTTTTCTTTTTTGTTTTTTTTTTTTGGAATATAATCAATAGTTATCGTTGCAGTTTTGTAAAAATTAAAAGCATTTTACATAAAGTGTTAATATGTATCTGCTATCATATAGACGTTATGCATAAGTATGTTAGGGTGTGTATAACATTTGAAAGAGTAAACAATTAGAGCCGATGATGGTGCTGACGGAGATCACTCAGAGGGCGAGCAGATCCTCCTCGGCGCCCGGTTTCTTTGGTGTCTTTCGTAAGCTATCGGCTCCCACCGATCCTGTCGTGGCACTACTGGCGGCAGAGTTCGATGCATTGATCGTTGGAAGATTTTCGGCGGCAGCGGCTCGCTCCTCTAGGAATTTGTCAAACTCCGAGCTGGTCAGTTCCTCAATGCCCTCGATGTGCTATAGTGGAAACCAAAAGAACACTCATTAGTCATTTTATTATAGTCAGCATCAAAAGTGCCAGAAGCAAAGAAGCAAAGGAAGATTATGTAAATCGAGAAACTAAAGCCGACTGTGCATGGTAACATGAGCTTAGAAAAAAGACAAAATGCGATTCGTATGGCTACTTACTGAGCTGCCCAACCACGCCTCCATCTCGTCGATCTCATTCTCTTTCGTCGACTGTGTGGGCGCCAACCGAAACGAAACGATAATCAAACGCAATTTGCATAGAACAAAAAAGAACCAAAACATTTTTCAAATTTAAGTACAAAAAAGTGTAAATCAATAGCCAAAACGAGGTCAAAAAGTAAGGGGAACAAATCGAACGCCATTAGTTAGACGGGCTGCCTTTCGGCCAGTTACTCACTTTACTTACCACCGGCGGATCGCCGGCTGATCGTTGGGCCTGCTGCGGTTGAGTCTGTTTGTAAGGCGAGGCGACGGTGGCCGCCACACTTCCTGCAGCAGCGTCCACGGAGGGAATGTCCCTTAGCAAGTCCGATTTACTAAAGAATGGTTTCGTTTTTAAAGGCTGTCTACAATTGAAATTAAGCTTATACTCACTGGTTGCCATCGGTGCGCGACTGAGCCAGCATATCGAATTCATCGGCAGGTCGTGGTGCCCCCCTTTGGACGCCAGCGGGTGCTCCTCCACCCAGGCTGAGCTGGCCCAAACTCTGTGGCAGTTGGGCGGCCTCCTCGCTGCTTTCAATCAGGTCGATCAGGAGCTGGTCACTTTGCGGCGTATTGCTAACAGCAGTTGTTGTGGGCGGAGGTGGCAGGGTGGCCACTGTGGCGGCTTCTGCTGCTCCCACGCCGGGCAGACCCATTGCAGCGCCCAGCACTGCCGAGGGCGAGGTTACAGCAGCTCCCTGACCCTGTGAGCGAGTCTTCTCGTACCGCTGATGGCGCAAAAATACATTGTTCAGCTCGTCATTGATGCGCAGGAACTCCGCGGTGAGCTCGTCATCCTGAACGCGTCCAATCAGATCCACGATGCGAGACTGCATCTCCTTGCAGGTGGAGGTGAGCTCGTTGAGCAGGGCATAGTCATCGGGCGACTCCTGGCCAGGCTTCAGAACACTTAGCATCTCGCTCAGGATGGACATATTGTTGCTGACGATCTCCAGTTCGGAGCGCAGCTTGGCCGCTTGGTCGGGAGTCAGGTGCAAGGGACCTGTGCTGGGTGGAGCAGCGGCTGCAGCGGCGGCGGCGGCAGCGGCAGCCATGTGTTGAGGCGAGATTGTGTGCTGCTGGGCGGCCACCAGCTGAGGAGGCAGCTCGGGAACGCTCTGAAAGGCGGAACAATGGGAGTTATAATGGATAAAGTAATGGGTTTTTGTTAAGCACTCACCCTCTGTGGCGTATAAATGGGAGCCATGGCATCTAGATCGTTGGCTGGGAACTCGATGCCCTTGTTTTTCAGTTCCATGTACATCTGGGTTACACCATTGAGATCCGGCTGGTTCTTAAAGGCATCTGCCCAAATCTGTATAAGGCTGAGAACCTTCTCTTGCATGGCAGCTGGCGGATCATTTTTGGGGCCGATCAGTTTGACCAACTCGTTGATAAAGTCCTTCTGGGCCACCAGGACATGAAAGGCTTTGCCGCAGTTCTTTACACACGTCTCCAGGACGGTCAGCGTGTACATAACCACCTGGTTGTTCTTGCCGGCATTCTGGGAGAGACGCTTGCGAATGGCGCGCATGGCATCGCGGGCCGTGTCCGAGGATTCGTTGATCATGTCGCAGATCTCCATGTTGGCGGCCCAGTTCTCCGAGGCCAAGTTGGCATCGGTGGCGGCCTCTGATAGAGATAATGATAATAATAATAATAAATAATGTGTTGTTATTATATCACAATGATAAAAAAGGGAACCTTAACTCATCGAGTGCCTTCACATATATTCCTATCTCTAGAAGTTAAGTACTTATTCGGAAGTATTTTAAAATCAAAAAAAATTAATTCTATGAATATTAATGTTATGAATTAGGAGTTACACCTTTTTGGAGTTACATTTTGAATCAAAAATGGTGAGATGTTGTTAATATTCAATATCAGATTTTATACTTTCCCAAAAAATAAATATTTCTTTATTTATCATACTATATTTATAAGAAAGATAAAAAATAAAGTAAGATTTTTAAATTTTCAGGACAATCTATTATTTTACATTCTACGAAAGAGAAATCAAATAAAGAAATAAGATTGATTTTCAAACAATGTAAAGATTATTTTGCGGTTGTTGATCTATAAGATCCAATTATTTTGATCGATCATCTCATTAACAGTGTGAAAACATGAGCTAATTACTTGGCTTCCTTTGTTTGTTTATATGTGGCCAGCTGGGTGTTGAGTTTTTTAACAGGTGGGTGAGTATTACCTTTCTGTATATAGATTAAGCTCTTTCAAGTGCAATGACTTGCTCAAATTGAAACGCACAAACAAAAGGCAGAAATGCAATTCGTTGAAATCCCAAGAAATGCAAGCGGTTAAATTGCATTTCTCGGATATCGGATAGGAAATTAGATATCTGGAGATATGTATGAGAAATCGGGTAGGCGAAACGGAAAAACAAACCGCAGGGCAACAACAAAATATGAGCAAATAAAATGTAGCAACAAATTAGTAAGGCACCAATACAAGTGCAAAGGTGCAGGTACATATGTTGGGATGTGTGAGTTGCCCGTGTGTAGCGGCAAATGGAAATTATGGCGAAAATGCGAGGCAAAGGGGATAACGAAATAAATTAACACATATTTTTTTATGTAACCTAGCGGCCAAAGGCAGCGATGACTAATTGCCATTACTACGGGTGGAAAAAAGGGGGAGGGGGTGGGAGCAAAAAGCAATCAAACAAAACAAGAGCGCATCAATAACAATACCGAATGAAGTGTGTGTGTGTGTGTTTGTGCGTGTTAAAGGTGAGCAAGCAGTTCCATAAAAAAAACAGACAAACATATTTATCTACTCAGTCACACCTGCGAATTGGAACTGTACACCCACATAGGGGTTAATCTTATCAGAGGCCCCCGTTGCCACCGCCTTTGAAATCAAATCAGACTTTTTTGCGGGTTGATAACCACTTTGCCATAGTAATAGTGTGGCAACAACAAATCAGTATGTGTGTGTGTGTGTACAGCCCGCAAAGAAAGCAACAAATCAAGAAAACAAAAAAGCAGACGAAGAAAGTTGTGAAAATTCAATTTTCCAATGGCCCAGTCTGATTGGTACTGGCATAAAAGGTCTTCTAATCAGACAACTGGCAATCTTAATGCGCAAAAATCCACGCATATGCGTTGTATTTTAGGAAAATGTTACGATTTTACACACCCCGCATCCGGTGGGCGGTGTTTTTTTTAGGATGGGGAGGGTGAGGGTGTATGTATGCTAGCTCACCTATGCGCTGGCCAACTGCAGTGGAGAAAACATTTCCCAAAGCGCCAACGTTGAAGAATGAAGCCATCGTGGAGCAGATTCTTGGTGCTGTTCGCCGACTCTTTGCGATGCGGTTGAAATGCTCCTTTATTTACTTTTTGTCACCTGGAAAACTAACCGTATTTTTAGCGTGACCGAAATACCGTACCGTATGTTACTATCGTTATTTTTAGTATTTTTAGAGTGAGTTAGTACGATAAAGTACCAAAAATACCGATAAATCAACCGCTGCCATTGCATTCGATTGTGCATATATCGATACCGATAGTTATACTCGATATCAGAAGGATATTCGATTGTTTACGTTCTTCAGCACGACCGTTCGTTGTTTCCGTATTTTTAAGGTATATTAAGGTTGTTTTTAAAGGCTTTTGAAAGCGCCAATTCTGCACTCATTCTGCTAATATAATATTACCAAGATTTTTATAGTTACAGAAGCAATTATGGGTAGCTTCTTGTATATAATTTATGATTAGAAGTGCCAAATTAAATCACAAAATAAGTGAATAATATATTCTCTCGTGAACAGTGACTTCGTGCGATATTGACTGCTACCGATATGTACAGTGCCTGCAGCCCTGGGGGTGACTCCGGACTGTAGCCTGGCAACCCTGCTCTGTAAAAGTCGGAAAAACAGAGAATTCTATTTTCAATTGGACAATTCGCAACGTAAACAGCCGGAAAATGTCGCGACAAGCCTCTCGTTTGGACGCCAAGAAAGTGGTGAGTTGATCGAGGGACGGGGGATGTAAGTGGGGGATCGGTATCGTTAGCTCTAGATAGTTAGCCCTAGTTGTAAGGTTAGTTTTTGCCTAGAGCACTAAGAACGAATCTTTTGACGTGCCACCCACCCTCAAAATCGGCTTCATTCGCTTTTCCAGTAAGTGTGGTGTGTGTTGAGGGCTTGAGGTTGAGACACGACAACAGACAGGCACAAATCGCCCAGCAATCGGGCTATGGAAAACCATTTCAGCGCCACCAGCCGACCCTCAGCCACGCCCAGAATGAGCTCCAACGCCACCGCTGCCGCCGCCAACAGCAACAGCACCAACAACAACGCAACAACCGGCAACAATGTGAATGTAAACACAGCAGCCGGAGGAGCCACAAATGCCGGCGCCACTGCTGCTGCTGCCCAACCCATCCAAGTGATTCCCATGCCAATGCTGCCCACCGGAGCGGCCCAAATCATAATTGGCCAGCAGGCACAGGGCCAGACGACGGCGACGGGTCTGCAGCCTCAATTGATACCCCTGCAGGCCAACCAGATTATGCTGCAGGCGGCGGCCCAGCAGCAGCCCCAGATGCAGGTGATGCAGCTGCCCGATGGCCAGACCATCTTCTATCAGACGCCCACCATTGCAGCCCTGGATCCGAATGCAGCGGCCAACGCAGCAGCAGCAATGGCCGCTCAACCTGCGCCCCACTACCTCAACATCAACGGGCAGCTGGTGCAGATCACTCCAGCGGCCAGCGCTAATCAGGCAACGCCCACCGCTGGTCAGCAGATCATCATGGTGCCGCAGACGGCCATGGCAGCGGTGAATGCAGCGGCCGCCAATGCTGGAGTGGGCGCAGGTGTGGCCTCTGTGGTCACCCAACAACAACAGCAGCAGCAGCAACAACAACAACAGCAGGTTCAGGCCCAGAACCAAAACCAGCAGCAACAACAACAGGCGGCGGTGGCTGCGGCAGCAGCGGCGGCTGCGGCCAGCGCTGCAGCCAATAATATAAGCGCTGATGTCAGCACAAGTACCACTGGGACCAATACGAACAGCGAGGACGAGAGCTCCAAGGGCGAGGCGGATGAGGAGCCGCTCTATGTGAATGCCAAGCAGTACAAACGCATCCTTATTCGGCGGCAGGCCAGGGCCAAGCTGGAGTCGCGCATCCCCAAGGAGCGCTGCAAGTATCTGCATGAATCACGCCATCGGCACGCCATGAATAGGGCGCGGGGCGAGGGTGGCCGCTTCCATTCGGCGCAGGAGAAGGGCGATCAGGATTCATCCGGTCCGGATAGCGGCAGCATGCCCATGGCGCCCAGTGGCGGCGTAACCCTTAGCCGAGGAACGGCAAGGGCGCCACCTAAACTGATTGCACCTCATCAAACGCCAAGCATTACCATAACGGCGATCAAATCGGAATAGTCGCTGCCTATCTGTAGATACAAACTAGACTAGATGATAGCTTATAGTCTTAAGCCAGTCACTCTGTGTTTCCCATTTGTCCTCAATCACACCTCATAAGTCGGCTCACCTCTTTCGGTTCCAATTTGAACTTGTTCATTTCGAATAACCAGCCTTGTTGCCATTTCACATTTCGAAATAATTTAGTTTTGTTCCCAAATGTCGATTATCTTTTTTCCAATTTACATCATTTATTTTATATTACCAAATTTTAAGATTTCAAAAGCGAAAAAGATTTATATTTTTATTATTTAATAGGCTTTTTATTATTTGCAATAAGATATGTAATTATTTTGATAGAAAAATTATGTTATATACTAAAAGTATGTATTCCAAATTAACAACTAGCAAATTGTGCAATTATTAATATCGATTTAACTAATCATTTTGAAATGGAAATGGGAACAAGGTTTAAATAGTCATAGAAAGCTGAGCACAATAATATACAAAAAAATCAAATCATAAGAAATATTCAAAGAAACCAATAGGCAATAAGATTTCATAATAAATACAAAAATTTGTTTATAAACTTAAAAAACTAAATTTGTCTATAGAAGTTTGTATTGGCTATAATTTCGTATATGGTACCGGCCCATAAAACGTTTTATTCTGGTTCTGGATTAATTTTTATTTGCTGACTGCTCTCCTTTCTTCCTCGTTTGTACAAAAAACAAAACACAGAACTCGGAGTTCCTGACACTCACCTACGGGGCACTCGTCACCCAGATGCTTCGCGACTTTGAGAACGCCGAGGACGTGAACAAGCAGCTGGAGCGGATCGGCTACAACATGGGCATGCGACTGATCGAGGACTTTCTGGCCAGGACCTCGGCGCCCCGCTGCCTGGAGATGCGCGAGACGGCCGATCGGGTCCAGCAGGCGTTCCGCATCTACCTGAACATCCAGCCCACCATCTCGAACTGGTCGGCGGCATCCGATGAGTTCTCGCTGCTGTTCGACAGCAATCCGCTGACGGAGTTCGTCGAGCTGCCGCCGGACCTGACCAATCTGCGCTACAGTGCCATACTCAGCGGCTGCATCCGCGGCGCCCTGGAGATGGTGCAGCTGGAGGTGCAGTGCTGGTTCGTGCAGGCAAGTCTTGTGTAATACTCTCTCTTACTCATTTCATTGTTGGCTAATTGTCTTGTTTGGTCATTTGTGCGTATTTGTGTGTGCGTGTGTGGCTGGGTGTCCTTTGCAGGATCAACTGAAGGGCGACAATGTGACGGAACTGCGCGTTAAGTTCGTGCGGCGTCTAGAGGAGGTCATACCAGCTGGCGAGGATTAGAAAACAACAAGTGTGGATCAGTGGATCAGAGCGCGTAGTACTATGAGTTCTTTAGGGGGGTCAATAAAAGCACATTCTGTATAGAGATTAGCATCTAGTAATCTGCGTTTTTTCGGTTTCCGAACTGCCCTCCACATTCCGGAGCGTTAAGCATCATCAGCAAAATGAGCAACAGCAGGAGCAACAAGCAACATCCACAGGAGCAACAGCGGCAACAGCAATATTGGAGCAATAAGAATCGTTACAACAAGTTTAGTTTTATGTTTTATTCGACTTTATACAGATGATTTAACTTTGGGTATATAAGAAAACAGTAGAAAATATGTTTCTGTTCATATTTGGCATGATATAAAGCGTCATAAACTCGATAAAAAACACAAAAGTATTCTGTTATATTTGATACAGTTTAACAAATGAAAACCCCCCATAAATATTACGTCCCTAAAGACATGGATCGCTTAGGATCTGGGGTAGTAATAAATTATAATTGTTAGTTTTAGATAAACTCAAAGGTATTTAACGTGTTAAATATTAAACAAAATGTACAAAAACAAGAAAGAGCTTTATATTAAAAGGGAGCTGACGGCATGTTATCAACTGTCTTGTTATACATATGAATCAATTGACCATATACTACATAGTTCGGCATATCTTCGTACAATGGATTTATGGCAATGTCTCGTTTATCGCCGTCAGTTTGCAAAAAGCTTTCTATGCGCTCAATAGAAGTTGCTTTGGGATTCTAGATAATTTTGGGTTCGTAATGATTATAGTACGTTTAGGGTATCTTTTGTAATGTTTGTTTGTAGCGCGGCCAGCCTCCGCTGGGATCACATATAGTTGAATCGTTTCGCTTAAATGCATTTTGACAATTTCAAGGGTTTTTAGGTCTCTTTTTCTGGTTCTTTATGGGGAAATACTTTTTACAGGCACAATACTTGATTGATTACATGATTGGATTCTGTGGGCTCTTGGGTTTCTTTGGGGCTTTGGGATTAGTGTACATAAGTAGTTCTTAGTTTAGTTCTGCTGTGGACAAAGCATTAGGTTCAGATTCCGGCGCGTCAGAACTTTGCGGAGCGCTTGCAGCGTTTTAATGCAGATCACCACGCAGCAGCCGTTGGCCACGCCCTCCGCCGGACTCTTGCAGGTGCAGGCGTTGCCCTTGACGGCGGCAGCGGGAGCTGAAGGAGCACTGCTGATGACGGGTGGCTCCTGCGCTTTTCCCTGGCCAGAGCAACAGCCCGAGGCTGGAGGAGGAGCGACTGCTGGCTTCTGGTTGCCCGAGCAGCAGCCTCCCGAGGGAGCTGGTGGAGGAGGAGCAGGAGCACCTCCAGTGCCGCAACAGCCACCGGAGGAGGGCTTACTCGGCTGGGAACAGCCGCATCCGGTCTTCACGGGCTCTGGAGCCTTTGGCTCTCCGGCACAGCAGCCTCCAGCAGAAGGTGCCGGCTTGGCGGCTGCAGCACCACCACCGCCGCAGCAACCTCCGCCGCCGCCGCCGCCAGAGGTGCCACCGGTACCCATGGAAGCAAGGTTTTGCAACAGCAAAGCAACATCCTCGATGTTCTGGTTCATTTCCGCCTCGCGTTTACTCACTTTTTTGGTGGGCGCCACGCTGCCGCAGATGCGTTTGCCACCGCTGGAATTCATCGTTGTCGTCGTGGTCGTCCTGGTGGCCTTTTGAGCAGCTGCAGCACCACAGTCGCCGCTGTGGCAGCTCTTTGATTGATCGCACTTGCAGTTGGTGCAATTGCAGATGCCCGCATCCGCTGTGATCTGCTTGAGGGTGGGCTTGTTGTCCCGGATGTCCAGTTCCACCAGGCCGGAGGCATCGCTGGGCACTTGGGAGGCCTGCTGCAGTGTGGCCTGCAACAGGGCGCTGTTGTTGTCGATGGTCATGAGGATGTCGTTAAGCAATGACTCCGTCTCCATGTCCTCTTCGTTGTCGAAGCTGTCCTGCTTCAGCAGCTCTTCGATATTCTGCTGATTCAACTCCAAGGTGGGTGTGGGCAGCGAGGGCTCCAGAGTGGCGTCCACATCCATGGTCTCCGCCTGCGGATCACCCATGTTGCCACTCACTGCATTGCCGAAAGTGGGTTTAAGGTCCACGAAACTTGGCATCTCGGTGGGCAGGGCCACGCAGGCATCCGTTAGCGGAGCCATGGGAATGATGGGCTTGGAGACAAGCACGCCGGCGTCTATCCACGGACTGGGTATCTCCTCCTCGGCGGCGTAGGAGAGCTGATAGGCCTGTGATGTTTCGGGCAGTATCAGAGGTTCGTCACCCTGTAGAATAAACACATTGGACAGCTGATCCTGCTGCGTCAGCGTCTGCAGCACCACTCCGCTGTCCGTGCTAGTGGTTTCGGAGCAGTGACTGCCTGGATTTAGCACCATTATCTCCGGCGTCGAATCCTCTTTGATGAACTCCTCTTCATCCTGCTCCTGCTCCTGCTGGGGATCCTTTTGCTCCTGATCTCTTTGCTGCGATTTCAATGGCTTCTTCTTGCGTCCCTTGTTGACCAACTGCCGCTGGTGCGTCTTCTTATGGGACTTCAAGCTGTGCGATGTGCTGAATGACTTCTGGCAGCTGTCCTCCTGGCAGGGATACGGCTTTTCGCCAGTGTGCGTCCGCCGGTGCGTCTTCAGGTGATGCGAGGCGGTGAAGGCCTTGCCGCAGTCGCCCTCGGGACACTTGTAGGGCCGCTCCTGGGTGTGGGTGCGCATGTGCTTCTTCAGGTCGCTCAGGGTGGTGAAGCACTTCTGGCACAGCTCGCAATTGAACGTCTCGCCATTGTGCAGGCGCAGGTGGGCGTGCAATCTGTTGGTGGATCGGGCGACGTAGGTTGGTGATTAATAAACCCTGCAGCCATTGGTGTATTCCGGTGGCTATCGACCTATCAGTCCGCCGGAGTGGATGTGGATGAGTGCTCACCTGTATCGTGTGTTGAAGGCCTTATCGCAGCCGGTCACCTCGCATTCGTAGGGCTTCACCTTCGTGTGGACGCGAACGTGGATCTTCAGGCTGTAGGAGGTGAGGAAGGCCTTCTGGCATCCGTCTTCCGGGCATTTGAAGCTGTAGTCGCCTGGAAAGAGGAAAAACAATGCATTACGTGGTCAATATAATATACATATGTATGTGCAATGCACATTGTGCATATTTGTATGTAGAAATGTATGACAATGCCGTTAGGCGTCGTCACAATAGGTTTTAGGGGAAGTACCATTTGTTCACCAGTTAAAGATGATCCCTATTTACTCAAATTTTGTAAACAAATTATTTCATTAAATTGGAAATAAACACTGAATTTAAATTTAATTATTAAGGGGAATATCACACCACTTTGACAGTAGTGCATGTATTATATTTTCCTAACCTTCTGACCTTATTGTAAACCTGAACTTTGGGTTTGAAACATATTAGGAAAATAAGCTGTGCTTCACTTTATGTATACAGGACCTTGAGCCATATACAAAATATTGGAATTATGCTTTATCTTAAAACTTAAATCTTAAATAAAAGTTTAAGAAAGTCCAAAACTTTTCTTTTTTGGTTAATTCGCAAGTTGATCACTAAGACTATGCCTTTTCCTCAAAACTAGAATAAAAACAAATTTTTAAAAAATTCATTCGTTGTTAAATTCAATCTTGCTATGAGCTTTAAGGGTTTTCATCCCCTATTCCATTTCGTTACGGTGCGCCCCTGCAGCGCCAGTGTTGCAAAGCACTTAAAGCTCGCCAGCTGTTTACCAGCGTTTCCCTATTTTACGCAGCGCACGAACGCGTAAGATTTGTGCGAAAACTTGCGATTTTGAATTACAAAAACATTATGGACTCGATTGACGAGGTGTTAATCAAAAGCGTCAAGCAAAATGTTTGCTTGTTCGAAAAAGGCCAATTAGCTATTCACACGAAAGCCGCCAGGGAAAAGGCTTGGATTTTAGTGGCCGAAGCTTGCCAGAGACCAGGTAAATACAATTTATTTATACAAATAAGGGCATCTTTTCAGTATTCCAATATGGTAATTACAGTCGAATATTGTCAAGTAAGATGGAAGACCCTACGAGACCGCTATGTGCGGGAAATTCAGAAGCCCAGTCCTACGCCAAGCAATATTCATAGAGTTGAAGACCTCGAGTTTTTGAGGGACCACATAAGGCTGAGGAGGTATTGAACTCTTTAGACTATATATATGATATTATATATTTTGTTTTAAAAGGCAAAGGACAACCAATAGCACATCGGGACCCGGAGAAACCGAAGAAAGTCAAGCATACGAAGAACCCATTGAAAAACGTGTGCACATTAACGAATATCCACATGAAGAGTTTATAATTGAGTATAAGAACGACGGGGAATATTTCAGTGAGTTTGATAACTCCAGCGTAGAGTTCATTGCGGAGGAACCAGTCTGCCAAACTGGCAGTGAAATGCCAAATGAACCGACCTCTTCAAGTTTTCCCAGCTCGACTGGCCTGGACCTAAATCAGGCTCAATCCAAGTTTCTGGACGTAATGAATCTCATCGAAAATGCTTTGAAAGCAAGGTCGTCGGAACCCCAGGACCCCTTCTACAAGTATCTCGAAAGTGTTTTGAGTAGCTTGAACGAAAGTACTCGCAGAGATATACAACTAAAAGTACTTAATTTTGTCAATGACGAAATCAAGCGGACTGGACACAAGTAACTTTATAGATTAAACCCCTACAAATATAAGGATACCTACCCGTGTGCGTCTTTAAATGCGTTCGCAGGTTTCCAATTGTGCTGTAGCTGCGATAACAGTTCTCGTAGTTGCATCTATAGCGACTGAGAGCCTCATCCGAACTCTAAACCATAGGGAAAATATTGCAATTAGATATCAATCTAAAAATATCAATGATGTAGCTAGGAGATTAGCAGATGTATGTACTTTGGAATGAGACAATTACGATCTGATGGAACCATGCGGGATTTTTCGAGTGATACGTTAGGGGACAGCCAATACTAGTTTGCATTACTACGCACCGCGAGATGGTTAACAAAACTTGGTTACACAGGCCTACGGCTGAATCGCAGGAATCGGAATCGGAATCTCCACTAACACTAGTATTAGAATGGCGAGTCGCTACAAAAAGCGTTAGGCAACGCAAGGCACGTTAGACACTTGACTAGCGGTTGATGATTGGGTGTGGGGATACCTCGTAGGCCAGCGCCATGAGCTGATCATTCTCGTCCTGCCTTTCCTCCATCTCCTCCTCCCCCGCATCTTGGTGCAGAACGCCCGGTTGGATGCAGTGGGCCAGCTGCTCGTCCTCGTCCGGTTCATTTGGATCGTATTCATCCACAAAGCTGGAAGATCGGAACGATTTGGTGGGGGGTGGGTTGGAAAGACCAACGGGGGAATTTATCGAATTTGCAGTTGGAAACAAACAGAAAATCGCATCGGGCGGGGCATATGTATATTCCACCCGATTTGTGTGTCAGTGGGCCGTTAAGATCTTTGTATATAATTATAAACGCAACAAGTATATGCATATATATATATACAGTGCACATATTGCGATTAGTGGGGTTAGAGCGTCAGCAAAAAAACATAAACAACAAACAAAGTCATGAAGGCGAAATAATTTAGCCGTCCTCTGGAGACATTTGGGTCCTTATTTATCAGATTAATTAATATTTAATGTTGTCATGGTCAAAACACACAACAAATGCCAAACAGAAAACAGCAGACGGCAACCGAAACTATAAAGAAAAGTCGAGGGAAATAGTACAACAAGTGCGTGGGTGCTGAGACGGCTGGCAGGCTGACCGAATGACGGGTGGCGAGCCCGTCCCCCAGACCCTTCTCTATAGGGGCTCATCCATCGCGATGCCCCCTTCTAATCGCGGGAGTGCTGAAAAATGAGAAATATGATTGAGGGAACACTACTCATGGCGGTAAAAATAGCAAAAAAAAAAAAGGCGTCTTCGCAGAATCGGTAGGATGGAAGGGAAGGGACGGTAGAAAACAACACTCAAGGCACGGATGAAAAATTGAAAAATTATTGTACCGCAGAATAATGAACAAACCAGGAACAACAACAATGTTGAAGAGACCGGACTAACCCCATCACAACAGATCATTTGGACTTAGGAACAGACAATTTTAGTTTATGACTATTTGAATGGGTTTTGAAGGACCGTAACCAATTAATTATGTGTCTAAATATTTTTATTTTCCTAAAACTAGCTAGACGAGCTGAACTCTAACCCCATCACAGAAGATCATTGGGCTTTAAAACAGAAGTCTTCATTTTATGACCATTTGAATACGACTATTTATATATATTTTTATTTTCCTAAAACTAGCCATATTAACTAAACTTTAATCTTTCAATTACCCTTTACTTCTTATCAGTCGATTTTTGTATCATATCTATTGAAATTTGAGTAAACATGGTGTAAACCCTTCTGGTTTCGTGACTTATCGCAACAATATTTGCCTAGTATCAACTAAACAGATTTATTCTACATCAAAAAACTTTAAAAGTAAGCCCTATCAGGAAGGCATATACTAGAGAACAAAGCCCGGTGACACATTAACGATCTTTACCCTTTGGGAAATAATAGAATAAATAGAGAAAACTTTTTATAGTGCCAAATCGCACTTTTTTATGGGAATGTTCTGGTCCCGGGGGAGAATTTCACAATGGCAGCGCTACAATTTGATATCGTTCGAAAACCGGCTTCTTTTACACCAAATGTGAATGAGTTTTGGGGAAAATTTCGACCGTCTAGCACACAATGTATGTAGAAATATACATCTATGTATGCATATATCCATCTATACATTCTGGTCGACGATTGGGGTGGGGGTAGAAATCTAAATGCGTTCATCGGCGCAACTATTTTTAGCCCAAACAAATGATTTCGATACAATCATCAGCCGAAGTGGAGGAGGCCCAAACCAAAGCATGCACCCATTATGATGCCCATTGCCATACGGCATTAAAAGTGCCCAAAAACAGAGGGTACACCGCAGTCGAAACGATGGCCAGGGAAAGATTGCAGCAGGCTGAGAACACAAATCAGGCAATTAGCAAACAACTTGCAAGCGATTCGGACACTGCGTTGTAATAAGTGGACATTGGAATGGTTGAAATTTGCCAACAAATTCTTGACAAGGAAGAAAATATGAAAATTCAATTTGGCTTTTTTTGGGGGAGCCAAACAAAAAGTGAAATAAAAGCAAAAAAATGCCGGACACGTCACGGCCGACGCTAGGCAAATGTTTTCCTTTTTTTCTCTCTGTGACTTTTTGTGTGTGGGCAGTGGAAAATTAGCAGAAAAGAGGGGCGGTTGTGTCCCTGGGCGGGGGTCAGAATGCGGAGGGCACACCTGACGGCCCACTATAATTGGCCAAATACGACAAAAACACGGCACGGCTAAGCACTAATCTACTCATAAATGACACTAAAAATATATGCAATTATTATTCAGAAACGATCTGGCTTTCAACAAATGTTTTGCGATTGAAAATCAAAATAAAGAATGTTTTTCTAAGGCAATCGAACGCTCTCAAGGTCTGTCATGAATTAAAATATTGACAAAAATTATTTGAAAAAAGCATTTTCTCAATTATTTGTTGATTAGTATCATAATTAAAGCAATGCTCCGTATTATAAATTTATTTAATTAATTATGCATTCAAAGTTTGAATCGAATTCAATATTTCAAAAAGAATTATGATTTATTTTTATTTATTTTATTGAAATTTCTAGAATTTGGCTTTAAAAAAATGTATAGCAAAGTGAATCTTTAGATATATGTGTGAATAATAATACGTATAGTTTTAAGAATTCCAGAAATTAAAGACTATAAAATTATTTTTAGACAAATTATGAATTTAAAGCATTTTTGAAAACAAATTTGAATTAACCAGAGAAGGTAATGAAATTCAAATCTATAAAATACCATGCCTAAGCAAACAAACTACAAAAGTCGCATGCAGCGGAGGAGGGAAAACATGCAAATGGAGTGGTACCTCGTCTCAATAGTGAAATAAGCCGGAGAACTTGTCTGGGAGCCCCTGGAGTTGAGGTTTCCAGTTCCCTGGGCATTATCACAGTTTGTTGCACCCTCGCCGGAGGTGGACACCATGCTGAGGGAGACCACAGTGGGCGGCTGGACCTGGACGAGCTTCTGGTTCTCGAACTGGTACTCCAGCGTAAAGCAGATGTCATCCAGATTGAACACCTGGGCGCTGCTTTCGCTCAGACTGGCTATCAGTGGAACCTCCGCATGGCTGGAGCTGAGATTCTCGGTGGTGTGATGGTATGTGATGGGTATGACCGTGATGGGCATGGGCATGGGCGTTAGTTGATCCGGTAGCGGGAAAACTTGGTCCGCTTCCGCAGGAACTATTTGTTGTGGATGTGCGTGAGTTTGTGGGTGAGTGAGTTGCTCCTGAAGGAACAGGGCACTGTACGAAGCCTGGACGTCCTCCGCATCCAGCGAAGGCCCCAGATTAAGCACCTGTTGCTCGCCGCTGGTTGATTCCGCTGCCTGGCTGCCGTAGATGCTGTAGCTATCGCCGTGAATGATGCCCAGGCCATCGGACTCCAGTTTGGGGGTGAGCAATTGGGCCAGTGGTCGATCGAAATCCAGGGAACCGGAGCAGGAGGAATTCGAGGCGGCGGGCGGTGAGCCGGAGAGCGAATTGCGCGACGAGTTGGTATCATAATCCCGGCTGTCTGATAACGAATTTCCATGACTATTAACCGTCTTCCAGTCGCTTTGATAGTATTGCTGCTGCTGCTGCTGCTGCTGCTGCAGTTGTTGTCTTTCTTGGTCGTTCATTTCGTGTTATTATTATTTATTCGCACGCCCACGCACACAGCAGAACACGCCTGATAAATCGCATATATGCAGTTGTTGTTCTCTTTCTCTGTCTGTTGTCACTGTGCAATATATATACACATATATTGCTAAAGAAATTAGAGATCGCGAGATCGAAAAGCACACATCCGCGATCGAAAAGCACAAACAACAACGATAAGAATCAATGTGACCCAAGGCGGGATTTTCCAAATATACCACCGCCGTGACAAATATACTAAACTATCGACAAAGTCGATAACCGTTTAGCGGAGACTGGCACCAAAATGGAGAAACCCAACACAGTTCGGGTGACTCCACTATGTCGAATTTTTGGTATATTTACGACTTTTCGATAGGTAACTCGATAGGTAAATTGGACGCGAGTTTTAACGCTGTCCAGACTAGAGCTGCAAAAACATCGATGGTAGCCCCATCGATAGTCTTGATAGTTTGCGGACTAAACCTCGATTCTATCGCGATAGTATCGCTCATATATAAGCATTAGGGGTATTCATGTAAAACCAATATAATAGGGGTATTTTTTAAAATAAATTATTATTTTCAATTATTATTATTACGTTTCATTATTAAAGTGTAGTTTAATTACGTTTCGTTATTCAAATGCATTTTAATTACGTTTCGTTATTTAAATGCATTTCAATTACGTTTCGTTATTCAAATGCGTTTTAATTATGTTTCGATATTTAAATGCATTTTAATTACGTTTCATTATTAAAGTGCAGTTTAATTACGTTTCGTTATTCAAATGAATTTTAATTACGTTTCGTTATTTAAATGCATTTTAATTACGTTTCATTATTAAAGTGCAGTTTAATTACGTTTCGTTACTCAAATGCATTTTAATTACGTTTCGTTATTTAAATGCATTTTAATTACGTTTAATTATTAAAGTGCAGTTTAAATTCGTTTCGTCATTCAAATGCATTTTAATTATGTTTCGTTATTTAAATGCATTTTAATTACGTTTCATTATTAAAGTGCAGTTTAATTACGTTTCGTTATTCAAATGCATTTTAATTATGTTTCGCTATTTAAATGCATTTTAATTACGTTTCATTATTAAAGTGCAGTTTAATTACGTTTCGTTATTCAAATGAATTTTAATTACGTTTCGTTATTTAAATGCATTTTAATTACGTTTCATTATTAAAGTGCAGTTTAATTACGTTTCGTAATTCAAATGCATTTTAATTACGTTTCATTATTAAAGTGCAGTTTAAATTCGTTTCGTTATTCAAATGCATTTTAATTATGTTTCGTTATTTAAAAGCATATTAATTACGTTTCATGCATGCGTTTCGTTATTTAAATGCATTTAATTACGTTTCATTATTAAAGTGGAGTTTAATTACGTTTTATTATTGAAATGCAATTTAATTACGTCTTGTTATTCAAATGCATTTTAATTACGTTTCGTTATTGATTACGTTTCGTTATTCAATTTAATTTAATTAATTAATTTAATTACGTTTCGTAATTCAAATGCATTTTAATTACGATTTTCTTTGATTTCGTTATGCATTTTAATTACGTTTCGTTATTAAATATGTGCGTACCTTCTTATTAGAATTCAATTTAAATACGCTTTATTATTAAAATGTAATTACGTTTCGTTATTAATTGCAATTTAAAAACGATTTATTATTAAAATGCAATTAAAATACGTTTCAGCTCACATTGACTGAGATAGGGGACTTGGCAAAGCTGTGAAGGGGAAATAAAGGAGTTTCTAATTTAATATAAAGATTCTTAATATTCAAATTTAAATATGCAAAATATAGTTGACCTAACTTTTATTTCAACACAATGTATTTTGGAGTTGTTGTTCGAATTTTTTGTAAAACTATCGTGATAGTCTGAAAAATATCGAAGTCGGTCACCGGCGGCCAACCATCGATACTATCGATGGTTCCATCGATTTTTTTGCAGCTCTAGTCCAGACTGCAGCTTGATAAAAAGCATTTCTACCATATCCCTTTCCTAATGTTATTACTTACTTTTATAATTTATTTGTTTTGATCTTCCCTGAAGATGACTAAACAATTTAAGCAATAGAGCTGGAACGACCCTACAATTTGTCGGAACTAAAAACAAACTTATTTAATTTTTAATTATAATTACTATGGCCTAAAGTTAATTAATAAGGTAAGAAGAACCACAAACATTTCAAACAAAAGGTCAATTCTTTTAAATAAGTAACGCGACCTAATGACACAAAAAAGTCACAGAACTGTCATGGTTCAAGTCAACGCTTAATTCAACCAATTCATCCACCTCCACACTTAAATTTGCGGTATATTTTAGTATATTTTAGTATATTTTTAACACCACCACCCTGGTCACACGGCATCCTTCTTTTTCTTTCGTTTCCGGCGAGGTATGTGCACAAATTTCTTTTCTCCACGTTTTCTCCTAAAATAATTGTAAATTTCTCATTTTAGCGGTGATTAAAATATCCATCGAGCAACAAAATGGTACGTAGGAGCTAAAAACCGGCTGAAATCAAACCCGAAAACGTGCAAATAACCCAAAAATGTCAGCTAAACCCGGAGCTACCCACGTGCATAGTCAAATATTGCTACCCCAAAAAACAATTATTTATGTGCCGAGTCTTAGATGTGGCTTCATAAAACCGAACGGAATGCTACGTAAACGAATAGTTCTTTGTAAACAATATTCAGTGCTTGCCTATTCAAAATGCACCGGCAGATGCCGCTACTGTTTTAAAATCTTGTGAAAAACGCTCAAATGTAAAGCATAAAAAGAGAATTCCTATCAAAGCGGGATATGAAAAGCAGTGAAGTATCGTGAAATCGTTTATTAACCTTAACTTACCATCGTCCACAGGGTCGCGTACGAACCAAGACGGTGAAGAAGGCCGCTAAGGTCATCATCGAGAAGTACTACACTCGCCTGACGTTGGACTTCCACACCAACAAGCGCATCTGCGAGGAGGTGGCCATCATCCCCACCAAGCCCCTGCGCAACAAGATTGCCGGGTGAGTTTTGCAAAGATTAATTTGTATGTCATTCGGTTTATAACCCTTTAATCGACTCTTTCAGCTATGTCACCCATTTGATGGGCCGTCTGCGCCACTCCCAGGTCCGTGGTATTTCCATCAAGCTGCAGGAGGAGGAGCGTGAGCGTCGCGACAACTACGTCCCGGCCGTCTCCGCTCTGGAGCAGGACATCATCGAGGTCGACGCCGACACCAAGGAGATGTTGAAACTGCTGGACTTCCACAACATCCGTGGCCTGCAGCTCACCCAGCCCAACACCAACAACTTTGGTCGTCGCAACTAAGATTTCTATAGCGCGTAGATGATGATGTTCTGATTTGCATGGGATCACAATAAACAAACTTGTGTGAAGTGCATTTAAAGTGTATTTCTTAGCATTCGAGTGGAATATATTAATGGAAATTGTAAAACCTCCGTAACTAATCAAAGTTTTAAATCACTCAAATAAAGTGGGGACTGTATAAGTGGAGATATAAAACCTTCGTTGCCATCAAACAACTTGTAAAGCCATTCCCATTTAGTAGGAAGCGAATGATTGCCCTATTTAATAGGTTTGCGAATCAACCGATTCTCAGTTACAACTTAATAACCCCAAATCTGTGTTCCAGTTTATCATATTTATTCGCATTCGAATGGAAAATACTGTAGACATGCACATATTTGTAAATATGTATATATTCAATCCATAAATATATGGTTTCGTTTTTATACAGACGATATATAAAAGATATTCTCTACGAGTGCACAATATTTAAATCTAAGGGTGTACGCAGATGCTAATATTTGTATATATTTATGTATATGAAGGGTGGTAAGTATACGTATGATTGTGCCCTCCGGTTCAGGAAGATGCTGTTGCAATGGAAGCAGCAGCCTGATCTTGTTGTGGTCTTCGCACCGGAGTACGCAAGACCAGCTCGGAGTCCTCCGATATGATGGGCAGTGCATGTGCCCAATGGTAGTTGATCAGGTGGCTTATGCTGTCAAAGATGCGATCTTTGGTACGGACCACGCCCTCGGGATCGATAAGTAGCAGATGCTTCGGCGTCTTGCCCTCCAATCCGGTTAGCACGTACTGGCCCCGCTTTCCCTGTGACTCACGCACCAGGAAGTCGCCATCCTGCTGCAGCAAGCGCTCTGAAATTGGTCTCGAGATGCCCGCATGGAACCACACCTCCGCCGTGAGTGGACACTGCGGTCCATCGAACACATCGCGCACTGTGGCCAAAACGGAGTTGGGCGCCGTTGTCGCTTGAAGGGGATCGAAGTGACCCAGCTTATTGGTTGTTTGATCGGGAGGCGGGGAGTTGAGGTCGATGAGGTTGCTGCTCAGTCGATCGCGTGGCTTCTTTAGATTCAGCTGTGCCACACGCGGCGCATGCGGATGCAGTGGCTGCTGCACCTGCTGCTGTTGTTGTTGTTGTTCCGGCAACTCCGGTGGCAGCTTGTTGGGCAAATCGTTGTAGTACTCCTTCACATTCTCCTTGCAGCTCTGATTGATATTGCAATCCCCGGAGGGATCATTGAGGCGACTGAGCGCGTTGAAACGCAGGGCGAAGGCCTTGCCAATGGTCACTATTAGATCCTCACTTTGACCGCCAGCGCATTCGAGGACATAGCAGGCCCGCCATTCATCCTCATTCTTGGCTATGTAGGCCAGGAAGTCGAGGGTGTCATTGTCACCGCCGGAGGCGAAAGATATGCGCGGCATATTGTGATTGGCAATCACCTCGCCCGTTTCCACGTTGCTCAGGGACAGAGCTCGGCTGGAAACGTTGATGATGATGTTGGTGCCGGCGTGCTGCATGCTAGGGCGATCCGATATGAAGCTGGTTAATCTCCGCTTGCCAGCAGACTTTAAGCCCGCCGCCTCGCACACCCGGTTAATGCACTCCCTGTTGAATCATAAAAAACAATTGATAACGCATTTGTGATTCATCGGCAGTTCCCACTTACCGCGCCAGCTGCGTCCGGGTCTCAAAATCCAGGGATTTCATTGAGGTCTTCACCTCCACGCAGCCCGTGTACCGGACGTTGAATGCAACACCCACGCCCATTATGACGTCGTCCGGGTAGATGCAGCCGTCACTGGTGGTCCCGGAACCGCTCCGGTTGCCGGCGTCGCCATTCTTCGGCATTTGTGCGG